TACTTTCAGAAAATGTTAACAAAGTCCGGGCCGGTTTGGGCTGTCCTACAGTGTAATTTGAGTTTAACTTTTTAAACAGGTGAGAGTGGCACCTCAAAAATATTGTAATTGTTGCTTAGTAATTGAAACACAACACTTCTTTAACTGAATTTGACTTTTCAAACAGGTGCCACCCCTCTTAGATGTAATTAAAAAATAAAGTTTATTCAAAATCATTTCGATTGATACCCATATTGGGGTAATTTATTTAACTTACTAAATAATTTGATTTTCTTACATACAATCATATGGCACAAAGCTAAAACCATATTACACATCTACAGGGCAAGCCCTTTCATTTGACACCTACCTCCTTTTTGAAAATCGAACGAACGATACAGATTTTATGACATGGTGTTAAATATTTAACGCAAACATCTCCGAACTCGATTAAGAAGTTTCACTTCAAAAAATTTTTGGAAAATTCGAAAAATTCGAATTAAATCGAATTTGCACCACCAAATTTTGAATCGAATAATCGAAAAAAAAATTGCATGGATAACTTAAAGTTGTGATACACAACTACACAATTTCAAAATCGTAGATCTTCGCTTAGAAAAGAGATAATGGAATTAAAATTTTTTTATCGCGAAGATAAATGATCATATAATATAGGAAAACTATAGAGAAGTTACAACAACAATAACTTAACCCCAAGAATGATAGAATACAAGATTGCGCCGATCAGAAAGGATTTTTGAGAATAACTTTTGTGTGACGTCACACTGGTGCAATTGCGAGAGAGAAATGCCAAAACGTGAGCAAGAATGGAAGAAGAAGAAAAAATGTTGCAAGGAAAATGTAAACAAGATGCACCAGTGTGACGTCATGCAAACGACGATTCTGTCAAATTCGTTAAGAGAGGAATAGCGGTCCGAAATCGGCGCAACCTTTGTATTATCTCAATCGTGACTTAACCCTCAAAATACAGTTCAAAATGTCATTTTTTTTTTAATTTTGTATTTTGGCTCCCATTCCACTAGAAAACACTATATTTAATACACCATTAGCACTGTTTCTGAAAGATTTCTCTTTATTTTATCTTAAGACTCGATTCTTGGGACATTGGAAGCTGTACCCGAGTGGCCAGATTGGAAAAAGAAAAGCTACCTTTAAACTCTAATAACTCGTAAACTATCAGCTTTCACAAAAAAATGTATATAACAAAAATGGTTATACTGGTCGATATCTTTACGAAAGTGCAGCATTTAACCCTTTAGTGCAGAGTCTGTTATATATGAAACGCTTTTTAACCCTTTCAAGGCAGAGGCAAAATGGGTCTCAATATGTTTTCAACGTACTTTTTATTTATTTTTATTTTTATTTTTTATTTATTTTAATATTTTTATTTATTTTTTTATTATTATTTTACTATGGAAAAATTTTCTACGATTAATATCTACGTCAACATGAGAAAAAGCACATTCGAAAGCATATTGAGAACCTTTTTCCTCTGCCTTGAAAGGGTTAAAAAGCGTTTCATATATGACAGACTCTGCATTAAAGGGTTAAATGCTGCATTCCATTATCTCTTTTCTAAGCGAAGATCTACGATTTTGAAAAAAAACTCGTGTTTTGCCTATAGTGCAAAACATATATAGTGGGCATTCTTTCATATATGTATGTATGTGCCATTTCTACCGTTATATATTTTTTGTCTACTCGGTTATTCCCTGGGGAATTCATGCTTTATTTAAATTTAAAAAATTAAATTACTACACCATTTTAATTAATTAGTGTGTAGTCCAGTTTTGTTTTGTAGAAGTTTCGTTAGTATACACTTCAGTTTTTACACATTGAATATATCTGCATATTTATATATTTACGCGTATCTATTTACATTTATTTATGTACAAGTCTACAAAATCTTATTACTTATAAAGCGATTTTTAATCTTCGTTGCTTAACACACATTTTTTCAATTACTTCTTGTGTTGTAATCGGCACATCATTATGTACCGCTAACATCGTTAAACCATTCAGCCGCTCCTTAATTGTATACAAAGAAGGGACACTTGCAAAGTGCGCTATGTAAATTTGTTTCGATTTATAGTTTTTGGTGGGTTTCATGTCCACTAACAGCAAAGTGAAAATTTTTTCTATATTCTGAAAAAATAGCATGAAATGTTAACTACTCTTGTAAAAGTCGCTATAATACTTATTTATACACTTTCAAATGTCTCCTCTTCGTATGAACTTAGAAAACTGCAAGAAAACGTGGTAGTTTCGGTGCCTAGTGGAAGAGGTCGCAAAAAAGAAGCAAACCAATCTTCCTAGAGGGGCGAAGGCGAAAAGCTAAAAAAGCTAGCTATGTAAAAGTTACTGTTTTAAAACTTGCAATATTAAATTTTTAAATATAAAATTTGCAAATCTACCATACTGCAATTTTAATTTTTGAATGGTATTAGGCTCCAAATTTTCAGGTAATAAAAAAGATACAGTTCCGATGTTACTTGTTGTCGTAGACGTTTTTTTTTTAAATTTGTGGCTTACTTTCATAAAATCACATAACGCTGTTTACATATATATATTCATTAAAAGATAATTTGTCATCCGTCTGAAAAAAAAAAAAAATTAACTCAGAAGGATAAAATAGTATTGTGTTATTAATTCAAAAGTAAATAATTGTAGTTCAATGACGAATATATAGTTAACCGTGAAAAAGTTATTAACACAACTTTTTTTTTTGAATATTGCTTTTATGATTATTATTAAAAAAAAACAGTAAATAATGTTCTCGAGCTGAAACGAAAAAATGCAAAATGGCGTTTAGTGCTGCCATAGTATGCATATTTACTCGAGGTTTGTGTAAAATTATTAATGACAAAGACGAAAAGCACTCAACCTCATATACATATACATTAGGCCGGGTCGATTTTGTATGGGGGAAAATAAAAGATTTGACCGTATTGTAATAGTAATATTATAGTGATGTCTTAGGTCTAAGCCAATTGTTATTGGCCACGAATGACTAATTTAAAACTTATCTTAAGCAATTGAATCAAAGTGTGTGAATTTTGAAAATGAAAATTTGGCTTGTAATATCTATAGAATGCGTTAATTGTTATAAACAGGACGATATATCAAATTAAGGGTTATTAAATTTAGTACCTTACGTTCATTTATCATTTTTCAATAAGTCTACAAGTTTTTAAGATATTAGGATATAACTTACCAAAACTATAATTTTCCCCTATAAATTTTCAATTCTTCATTACTTCAGAAATCAAGTGAAAAATATTAAAAAGTGAGACAAGATTTATTTCAAACGTTTCGGATGTTTATATCATATTAAAAAGACCATGGACTTGGGTCACGCCGATTTGGTCGTTTTCAAGATCGTGGTGAATGTAGTCAAACATGTATTGTCAAAGATTAGGAATCGTTTAATAAGTTAATAGTAATTTCGAGCATATAATTACTTACATACATTAACATAATACAATTAGGGTGAGAAACGCCCATTTTAAGCACATTTTTCGCGGTTTCTAAATTTGCCGTTATTTGAAAGTAGGGGACGTGCAATAAGTGGTTAGATATACATAAATATTTAATTCCATTATGTGAAGTGATTTAATTCCATTAGTGAAATGACTGTAGGTAAATGCAATAGTCTTTAGCATATCCTGGGAAATCCTTATGAGGACTCTTCAATTGGACGAAATGGTTTGCATGCAGCTTGAACGAAAAAAGTCACTCCCTGGCACACTTTTCTGTAATCCGGTTATTTTATTTAAAAGTTATTTATACAATTTAAGAGAATTTTCTTTATCAAAAAACTGGAGATCCACGTAAGTTTTTCGATATAACTTTGGTAAATGTTACTCGATCGGTACGTAATAATTACCAAATTGAAGACGAGACTTACTGTTTCTGATTTATGATAATAATATGATGAAAATCGTTCAGAGTATAAACAAATGATTTAAAAAAAATGTCGAACAAAATTGTTTGCAATTTTCCTATATTTGCAATTTTTATATTGTATGCATAAACATAAGTAAACTAATTAGTGTTTCTAGAAGTTATGCCTATTCAGTGTTTCCATGCTCATTTGCATAAACAAAATTTTTCCACAATGATGGAAAATAATGGATTTTCTATTAGAGCTACGGAAATTGTTCCCAAATTTGCAAAAATTCGCAAAGTATAGCTAATATTAAAAAAAGATTAGCAGCAATATTAATAAGAGAAAGGGGCAATCAAAACGCGACCTTTTTTTTGGTAGAAATGAAGTCACCATTGGAAGAACCTGACACATCTAGTTTGGCTTGTAAGCGCTGTTTAAGATCTCGCCATTAGGCTAGATTCTAATTGTTTCTTAAAAATACTTGACATCCGCATTCGCATCCGCATCTGCGGATGTTAGCTGTTAGATATTCGCATCCGCATTCGCATCCCCGGATGTCTAAAATTCCACATTCGCAATATCCCTAGTATGTACATCATCAAACGCAAGAAGAATGAACAAAGCAACAATTTCATACATGGGCGCGCGGCGCGATCGAGGGGCGGGGAGTGCGAGCACAGCGCAGGGTGGCGAGCCAACGCAGACCGCCTCTAAAGAGACAACATTTGTTTTTTGTATTGAAATAAGATCGTACGGCTTTGTTCCTCGTACGTAAAATCTTTGCTTATGGCTTTATTTCACTTTTCCCATAGAAATAAAACCATATGGCGTTATTTTCCCATGTGAAGTGAAATAAAGCCATATGACGTTATTTCCTATGGCTTTATTGCGCGGTGCCGTTACCGGCTATAAAATACTATGTCTAATTTTATTAACTTATAAAAAATTTGGAACTTGAATTAGAAATCATATTTTTGGACAAATTTAACAAAAACCCATAATTCTTCCTATACATACATATGTTGGAATTTGAATAAAATCATCTTGATAAAAATATTTATTAACATTTGTTATAACATGATTAATATGAATTTAAATAACTTTTTTCCAGCCGCTCCAGCCGACGCTTCATTTCCCTATTATGGTGCGAAAATTGGAGCGTTAAAAAGACTGCATCACGGCGTTTCGGGAGATGTATATGCTGTGGACTCTCGCACCCTTTTTATAAAGAGCTTTAATTATGATGGCGAAGCTCCTGGTAAATAACACACATAGATATTTATATACAATATGATATAGATATCGATGGTCCTGTGCAATAACGACACAATTCAAAATTCAAAAAAACAAAAACTGTGACTACTGTTAAGTGGCTCTTGTCTCTAATTCTTGTCTAATCCATTCCATCCCTTTCTAAAGTAAGCAGTAAGGATTGCTAAAGTAAATACAAAAGATTAGACATAAATTCGACAAGGATTGTAGACATGAGTCACCCAACTGTAGTAACAGTTCTTATTTTTTGAATTTTGAATTGTGTCGTTATTGCACAAGACCATCGATATGTTTAAGTTATACGCCTTATGTATGCATATGTACATACATTAATAACTGTAAATATTTGAGCGATTCTTCAGTCCAGACAGAGAAAAAACTACATATGTACATAATAAAATAGAACAAAACTAATACAGTATATTTTGCTTTGCTGCCTTTATGCTTAAGTGCACATTTAAGATACCTACCCTTAAATGCGCATTAGCGGCATTATTTTTAACATTTATAAGGAAACTCCTCCGATAGGTGCATTCAACATACCTGCACATTGGCGATACCTGCCTTAAAAATTGTGCAACTATTATTAACTATCAAAGAAAGTATTAGGTTTACCTGCACTGGCCCTACAATTACCTAATTTTACAAGCTTTTATTTATTTTGCTCATCTCGCAGAACAACGAAAATGGCTATCAATCAATGTAGTTATATAGATAATTAGATACCATTCGGTAAAAATTTCGCTCGCAGTAATTTCTACGTGGTAAGTGCTCCTCCATTATTTGGTTTCATAGGGATTCGGATACCTTCCTCATTGAAGTAGTAAAGTAAATTCGCTTAAGTGCTTTTGTCGGTTAAGTGCACAAGTTTTTCGTGCAAAGAAGCATGGGCAGCTAAGCAAAATATACTGTATTTATGTAAAATATCTCTATGAATTTTCTTCAAAAAGACATTAAGGGAGTTAATGCTGAGTGGCAGTTTAGGTGCAAAGTTGCTACTTGGAAATCCAGCACGCATTTTTTTGTTGGAAACGCAAAAAACAAAACATGTGCTAGATCAGGGGTTCGTAGACTTTTAAGATGATGGAACCCTTACTAGCCACATTTCATTTTATGGAACGCCAAATCAAATTACTAAAAAAAAACAATATAGAGCAATTTAAATATGAATAAAAACTTTTACTAGAAATGGTATACATACTTTAAATTTTAATGTGAAGAATGAAATTGTTTCACTGTTAGTAATCATTAGGGCTATTCGCGATTCGGTGCATAAGAGCTGACAAATTTATGCAATTGCAGAAATATGCCATGGATTGTGAGCGACCTTTATTAAACTGTCATGGTAAAGCTTTTGCAAAACAATTTTTGTGCATCAGCTTTGGTTTTGTTTATGAATGCAATGCATAGCATTTTTATGCTATGGATTTTCGGTATTGCAAATTTGCCAAGCCATGACAAATGCAAATGCGTGTATTTTGTTTGTGTATTGCAAATAATTTGCAATACAAATTTGCAATGCAATGATGCTAGGCCCTTTGCACCGGATCGCGAATAGCCCTATTGTATAAAATAGCAGTTCGATATAATGTCTCAAAGCTGTATGCGCATTTCTGGGGTAGTTGTAAGCTGAAACCCTTGTTGACAGAGTACGTTGTGCCAGAAGGAAGCAAAATTAAGATGGTCTTTTTAGCGCCTTCATGATATTTACTCTTAACACTAACCCAAAACTCTTTCAGAGACACAGATGCAAATGTGTGTTACAATGTCGAAAACCTCTGGAGATCTATGAATGCTTCGTAAATGGATTTTTTACCAAACCGAAAATAATCTGACAAAGAAAGGTGATTTACCAAGTGCTCAGTTATGGCATTTCACATTTCATTTGGCAATTCGTCGCGTTCCTTGTAGGAAGTTTTTTATAACCCTTTGGCTACAGCGACCAACAACACATGCCGGTTAGATAAAAAAAAAACAAGCTGGCAAGCGCAAGCTCAACGCCCTTATGTAGGTGTGGCACTTAGTACGGCAATCATATGTACCAACTACGAGTACATACGTATGTATGTATACTTGAAAATAGATAATTGCGTCTGAGTCAAGCTGTTTATAGAACTTTTCTTTCTGTGTGCAACTCAAACCGACCACCGTGCTCATTCATACCAAAATAAATTTCGTGGAGCCCCGGTGACTTTTCTACGGAACCCTTGGGTTCCGCGGAACACACTGTACACTTTAAAAACTATGTTTAAAAATGCGACTATAAATCGAGTATATTTTTGTTTATTTTTTAATTTGTTTGGTAAATTTACACGACGAATATGTATTTTTCTCGTTTACACATTTTCGTGTGCAAAAATCCTTTTTGTTAGTGGCACAATTCTAAGGGTGAAATCAAACAGCAGATGTGTATTTTGTAGCTTGTACACACTTTCTTAGTAAATTTACGCACACCACAGAAGCTATATTACACTCTAAAAAGTCCGAAATTTAAACAAACTATTCGTTGAATAATCGAGCATGTAATTTCGCGAATAATAAGGTAGGAAATCAGTAACCTACCTTTTAGGTAGGAAATCTACACAACTTTTTTTTAGAGTGTAAGCAGCTCTGTGCTAGATTACTACGTAGCAACCTACCTTTTAGGTAGGAAATCTACACAACTTTTTTTTAGAGTGTAAGAAGCTCTGTGCTAGATTACTACGTAGCAATTTTACACCTAAAATGCTACACATCGTTAGCTCCCCAAAATACATTAGCTCGCTGAAATACAAAAAGCCGCAACTAAGTAAAAATCAAAAATTCCGTTTTTGATAATTATGATGGATTTCTTCGAATTATAAGTGCCTACATAATTTTACATATGTAAGCAATAAAAAAAATTTAGTTCGTTACGGCTTTTTTGTATTTCAGCGACTATGTATATGAGTTAGGGCCTTTCTATATTAAGGTAACGGAATGCAAATAAAAGCAATTAGCAATTCTTTCGAATTGTAATTAGGTTACCTCAAAATTTTAAGTTTTTGTTTGGAATGGCTTATTTTGCTTATTTAGGGTTTCCAAACTTAATTTCTACGACCATGAATATTTTAACTATTTTAATGTATAAAGCTAAGTACGGATCTCTTAAAAAATGTCAAGAAAAAATTGCCATTCAGCAGGTTCTGCAATTCATTTCGCAGTGAATTTCAAGCCCTGCCAATTTGAATTCAAAGCAAATTAGATTAAAATTCACCCGAAAGTGAATTGCAGAACCTGCCTTATTATTTCGTTTGTATGAATAGTCTGCTGTTCCACAGCCTTCTGTCTCACTCTTTGCTCACGAAATAATGGATTGGGCATATATTTCTGTTGAAAACATGGGTTGCCTTGAGCTCTTCCACAAAAAACTTTAGAAAACCTTAGTAGAAAGCCTAGCATATTTCTTAAGAACTCCGAGCTGCTTAAGAAAATTTGGCTTAATAAATATTTCTTGAGCGTTTCTTGACCTTGTCTTTTATATGGAGTTTTGTCAGTTCAGCTGGAGGACTGCTACTGTTAACGATAATCCTTGGATTCTCGGCTCTCATCAAATTTCCAGTGATGAAGATTCCAATATTATTTGTAGAACTAAACCAGTGATTTCTAAAGTGGTCCAGGGGGGCCTCCAGGGGTCCACGCGAGACTCGACGGGGGTCTACGTTGGCGTGAAAAAAATATGGGGGTCCATGAGATGTAAGTGGGGGTCGACGAAAATTTATCTGGTTTTGATAGTAAAGAGCCAAAATGGTTACTTGATAGCCTCTTTATTTAAATTTCATTTTTTGAGTGGTGTATCGTGCTACTGACGCTCTTCTGCACTTACCGCCACTTTATGTTTTCTTAGGTGGGAAAGCCTTAAAGGCCACCTGCAGACTAAAAATAGCCGGATGTTGGTATAACACTTAGTGAGGCGCGGCGGAAATTGCTGGTGGCAGAGATTTAAGCACTTGTGTGATTTCAATGCTACAGGATAGTACGCCACCATTACCTTTGTTGAAGAGATTCTATAATTTTGAGTTCACTGAGACTGAATGCTGGTTTGATTGCATCACTGAGACCGGACTCACACATTGTCGAATCTTCGCTGATGGCTCCAAAACTGACTCCAGGTCATGATCTGGGGGCTTTTTCGGAGTTAATGGGGATAAGCTTCACTTTTCTGTTGGGGAATATGCTTTCGTCTTCCAGGCTGAGGTAATTGCAATCCTCAAAGCCAAGCTGCACTTAAGGCATTGGCCAGCCCTCTAACTACGAAACCAAACCAAACTAGTTCGGCAATGCAAGTCTCGACTAAATTATGGTGGTAAACATAACGAGCTTGCTTTACTCTGGGCGCCAGGTCCCTCAGGAGTACCTGGTAATGAGATATCTGACCATTTGGCAAGAATTGACTCAGACCAGGCATTCTTCGGTCCGCAACCAGTTTTAGCACACCCACTTTCGGCCATCGAAGCAACCATCAGAAACTGGGCGAATACTTCGCTCAGCAATGACTGGGAGGCATCGAGGGGATACAGTTGGGCAAAACTCATGTTGCCTTCAATGTCAGAAGTTTTTTGCTCTCACTGAGCAGACGACACTGCAGACAACTTGTTGGACTGCTGACTGGTCACATCATGTGGCACAAACACCTGACTCAGATAGTCCATTTGCCCATCCTGCCTTGAAGAGGATGAAATGGTGGAACACTTTTTGTGCTTCTTGCTCGCTTGGTTGTTTGTCATTGAATTTCTAGACTCGTTCTTTTATCTATTGTCAGTTTCTGAATTAAAAGTTTGGCGTAAAAAGCTTAGCTATTTTGCTAGTAGCAAGAGTATACAGGTAAAGAAAATATGCTGTCGATGTAATTGAGAAGGTGAACAGGTTTCGTTAGAAAAACTTACTGCCTAACCAGAATGATGAGGCTGTAGTATGTAGCAAGAGCTGTCAAAAGTTAAAATATTCTAAATGCTCGTAAATTTTCCA